TTACGCTAAAAAGGGACAAGAAACATATGTTTTGTCTTGCTCACACCTACATATATTCCATTTGCACTTTCTCGCTCTAACCATTATTATTGTTTTAATAGCTTGTCTATTCTATTCTCTGTCTATGGGTTTTATAGTGTTTTCTTAAACTTGGTGTTTTTTGCAACAAATAAAGGACTTTTTATTAAATAATAATGTCAGGAAACAAGTAAGGAAATGTCTTTCTTTATATGTCTTATAAGTGTGGGAGAGCCATGCTTCGGCACGAATGGGTCGGCTCGACCGGAGTGATACCACGGCCTCACAGAAAACCGGCGTGAAACAACCACAGCGTTGTGTTTCGCCGTGTGAGTGAGGATACCGGAGGCCCAATCCTTCCCCTCCCCCAATCCCTCCTCAATCCCTGAGTCTCCAAATCCCTTATCCCTAAAAGATCGGCAACGCACTCGTAACTCCTCCGTTGCGGGTGTCCATGGGCGGTGCTGATTGCTTACCATCAGGTAATCCGTGTGCTCGTTTGCCGAACTACTACATAAAGAAAATGTTATTGAATTGTCATCCATAACTCTTCAAATATTGTGCTGACTTTCGTGGTATTTTTACTATGTATTTTGATGTGGTATTTTATTCATTATTTCATAAATTTCCAGGGAAAACCGCAGTTCTAACTTTAAATCTTCTGAGTCTGACGCATCAAAATAACGGACAATATTTAAATTAATTATAGATAATGTAATTCTTCAGAATGAGATCACAAAATTATACAACAAAGCAAGAATCAGCTGTCGAATCTAGTTTAACTATCCGCCATCTTGGTTAACCCGCCACCGAGCCGTGGTTAAATTATTTGACTAATAGTTAATAATTTGACAATTAGTTAAGCTAACTAATGATCAAAAAACACATTTTGTCGATATTTAACCATTAGTCAAGATTTTTAACAATTGGTTGGGTTAACTACGGATCAAAAAACCGGCCCTAAGTAAGTATAATTAGTTTAAGTAAATTTGCGTTCAAAATGACGGCAGAGTAGAATGTATTTGTTTGCCACCGTTATTCTTCACGTGGGTGTTTTACAGTTTTACAGACTACCTAGGTTTTATAAAAAAATAATATAGACTTAACAACAATGGATTATTAAAACTACAAAGTATAAAACAAAGTCGCTTTCTCTGTCCCTTTATCCCTATGTACGCTTAAATCTTTAAAACTACGCAACGGATTTTGATGCGGTTTTTTAATAGATAGAGTGATTGAAGAGGAATGTTTATATGCATAATAACATTCATTAAATAGTGGAGCTATTTAGTATCAGCCGGATGAAGCCGAGGCGGGTCGCTACCTGATGGTAAGCAATCAGCGTCACCCATGACACGTGCAACACCAGTTGGGATTGAATAATTGGGCCTCCGGTAACCTCACTCACACGGCGAAACACAACGATGTGGGTGTTACACGTCGACTTTCTGTGAGGCCGTTGTATCACTCCAGTCGAGCCGACCCATTCGCGCACTTAAAACCATCCGGACCTCTGTGAACCTCACTCACACGGCTGCACAGAAAGCAAGCGTTGATTAACGCGAGTTTTGTTGTAAGACAAAAAATACTTTTTTATGGTAAGTATAAGTCGGCAAACGAGCAGACGCATTACCTGATGGTAAGCAATCGGCGCCGCCCATGGACACCCGCAACAGCAAAGGAGTTACGAGTGCGTTGCCGGCCTTTTGGGGATAGGGGTTGCGGATATAAGGACCGGGAAGGGATAGGGGAAGGGGCGGGATTGGGTCTCATGTTACCTCACTCACACGGCGAAACACAACGCTGTGGTTGTTACACGCCGGTTTTCTGTGAGGCCTGGTATCACTCCGGTCGAGCCGACCCATTCGTGCCGAAGCTTGGCACTCCCACAATTACTATTCCACCTTCACGATCGACGTTGCAGGCGGAAACAAAGTAGTGATTGTGTTTAATGAATTACTAAGACTATTGTATTTCTTAGGAATACATAAACTCAGCAATACTATGTATCAACAACACTGGTTTTCCTATGACTCACTGCTCGTATGCTTAAGCAAAACACTGCGTTATTAGTAATACATTCAACCAGCTTTTGCCAAGAGCGTACGGCGCGTAGCGTTCCGCGCGCGCCTCAAAGAGCCATTCGACCACCACAGACGGGGCCCTAAAGGGCTGATGTTCAGCCGGGGTTGCGGGGTAAGCGCAATGAGGTACCGCGACCTCGGCACAGAGCAGGAGAAGGAACAGGGGGGTTTTTAGTCAGTAAGAGTCTGACACTCCCTCCTGCCCGGCCCTGGGCGGGAGAAGTAATTTGATGATTATCCCCTCACAAAAAAAAAACAGCTTTTGCCAGCGACTATGTTCGCGTGGAATAGTGGCGTCCTGCAGATTTTTTTAACCCCCGAAGGGAAAAGAGGGGTGTTATAACTTTGACGTGTCTGTGTGTCTGTCTGTCTGTCTGTGGCATCCTGGAGCCTGAACGGATGAAGCGATTTCAATATAGTTTTTTTTTTTGTATTAAAGGTGACTTACGTGCGAGTGTTCTTAGACATGTTTGACGAATATCGGTTGAGCCGTTTAGAAGTTATGGGGAATAAGTGGGGAAGGGTAACCGAAGGTCTGCAAATATACTCGAGTGTGGTCAAATAAAAGCGCACTGAAAGGGAATGTTGATGACTTTATCGAGAGATAATATAAAATACCTATAAAAAGTATAGAGCAAAAAAATTCATCAGACTCCCGACAAAATAGAAATATTTAGTAGATAATAAAATATTTGGATCGATAGCCAAACGCCACGTTTTTTTAATTATTCCTTTTTTAAGAAATATTGGATTTTTTGTCGCGGTTTTTTTTTTATTTTAAATTTATTGGTATAAAAACTATTCTATGTCCTTTCTCGGCGAAATCACTGACAAAATGCTAGTTAAAATACACTATCTGTTTTCCCACTTATGTATATTATTAAAGTCGTGATGTTATACCTACTTTGTTATAAAGTTATTTAACTTGTCTATAGGTAAGCCTTTTACTTCGCTCGTTCGTTGGACACGATTTAACGGAAATAATAAAATAACTGGGTCACTGCTTGCTATGTTCCATACCTTAGATTGTACGTGATATATGCGTATTGTAGTTAGAAAAAAATATGCAATTCCAACATTTATGACAGCCAACTTTACTACATAGTATAAAACAAAGTCGCTTTCTCTGTCCCTATATCCCTATGTACGCTTAAATCTTTAAAACTACGCGACGGATTTTGATGCGGTTTTTTAATAGATAGAGTGATTGAAGAGGAAGGTTTATATGTATAATAACATCCATTAAATAGTGGAGACATTTAGTATCAGAATTGCACCCGTGCGAAGCCGGGTCGGGTCGCTAACTTGTAATATAATGACGTTTTAATCATTGAAAGAGTAAGCAGATATACCTAAATCAATACTCAATACTAAACCCAATCATCACCACTATTTATAAGCAAATAACAGAAAAAAAATAAAAAAAACGCACCGAAATATCCATTAAAACTTCCACACACCACTACTTTTCAAAAAAATATTAAAAACTTTTGTACTTACAATTATTAAATGCCCAATAGTTTAAAAAAAAAACGTATTATTTTTTCTATTGTAATCACAGCCTTGCAATTCTTGGTACAAATAAATGACAACTTAATTCCAAAATAAAAACCTAATAAACAATTGCCTACTGCCTATTGAATTAACTGTTTGTACAAGGAATCTGTATGTAAAACTGATTTAAAAAGAGTGACCATGGAGTTTCTTGCTCGTTCTTCTCCATAGGAATCTACACTTTGAAACGAGCAAATAGCTTCACTAAGAGGACAGACCGACAGACTGACACTGTTTCTCCAAAATTTTTTTTGACGTTCAAAAGTGCCTGTAAGGGTCTAATTGGAATAAATGATTTTTGACTTTTGACTACCTAGCTTTTTTTAAGGAAGAAAAACCATCAAATGCCTTCTCCCATCAAGCGAGAGGGAGTGTCAGACTCTTACTGACTAAAAACATCCCGTTCCTTCTCCTGCTCTATGCCAGGGACGCGGTACCTCGCTTGACCCGCAACCTGGGCTGACTCTGACTGGTCATCAAACTATGTGACTTGGACAGCAAGGCATCAATGATCCGCTTCTCCAAACTCCACATTACCTACCAAGACTACACAGCTAACACCGCTATACAACTTAGGTATTTCTAAATTACTTAAAACCGGTTTTGCTTAACAGACACAGCCCGTACAAGAACTGGTTTGTAACCGGTCCACTTCTAAATAAAACATCAAATAAAATAACGTTTTCAAAAATACCGAATTTTACCCCAAAACAGACTTATACTTGAGAGCGAAACAAATAATTCTTTATAAGGAAAATTGTGTTTGTAATACATTAACAATTAACACTCATATCTCGAAAACTGGTGAGCCAAATTTGATAGTATAGGCCATTATAGAACGCCGTTGATAGAACATATTGCCTGTCGCCATTTTTAGCAGTAAATCAAATAAAATTGCACAATTTTTCTACATTGAAATTAAGACTTAGACAGACAAATTTATCACCATACTATAATTTTTTTTTAACCTAACTAAACTAAACTAACCACTCAATAAACAACACAATTCTTCTTAAAAACACAAGTAATATTAGGTAAATAATTAGGCCTAAAATTGCAGTCAACAATCTAGACAGCGCGCGTCTAGAAATCCGTGCCGAATCTAGGTCAACGTTAAGCTACGAAGAAAAACTTAGTTGAGCAAAACAAAGAAATTTAAACTCGCTAATAAAAATTGCATTACGAATACTTTTAGCAGATTTCTTAATACATTCAAAGGTCAAATTAAAACTGCTAAATTTTACACAAACACACACAAATTCAAAGGTAAAAATTTCACACACAAAAAAAACGAACAGTTTGATATAATTAAAAAAATAATTTTATAAAAAAAACAACACTCACTAATTTTCCTATTACATTTCACATAATCGATCATACGGTTTATAGAACGCACCGCCATTTTGTATTTTTAAACGGATTTTTTTTTATTTGAAAACGAATTACGTTTAGTTCGCGGCAACAACGACCGGCATCACGCGACGCGGTTTCGAATGCACAAGAGTGACTGACTTCGTCCGCTCGAAAACATTGGTATTTTACGTTCAGAAAAATTTTATAACTATATTTTTTTTTCGCTTACTTCTTTCTGTTACGTTCCGTTGACCGCTTTACTAGCGTGGATAGTTTAGTAAAGGAGATTCTTCGGTTGGGTAAAGTGTTATTGTGTTGTTTTAGTTCGATTTGAAAGAAAAAAAGAAACATTTATTTACATAGAACACAGGTATGGTTTAAAAGCACCTAGTTTCACTGACGAATAGACTGACAGACTACTTTGACCTCTCAAAAGTACCTATTTATCGTTTACTTGGGATAAATGATTTCGACTTTGAATTGATCGTTTTCGGAAATAACTTTGCTCTTTATTATAATGAGACTACAGACTACAAAGGTAGTCTAAAAATTATTGATAATAAGTCGGCCATCTTTATTTTTCCTGTAAAATTCTCCCGTTTTCGGTGACTGAGTGTGTGACAGACAGCACACAGCTGTAACTACAGCGTGTTGCAAGCTGAGTGACATGTGGCAGTACTAGGGGATGTAGAGGAGCTCTGCGAGAGGAATTCTTAGAACTTTGTTTACATCTTTGATCCAGGAATGACCTCAAAACCCTTAGCTTAGCATTAACGCTTGCGACATCTCAATGAAAGACCCAATCCCTACTTCAAACCATTCAAAATGCACCTGTTCAAGTTTTATAGTCACTTTACACGAATCAGTAGGCTCCATTACCGTAGCAAGTGTACAATGCATAATTACACTTCGCCACAGTCGGGTATTGCATCAATCCATTACACAACTCACCCTTGACGCAAATTGCGTTACTAAATATACGTATAATTGAAGTATGTTATGGTGTAGTGTGCAGTCAACAATACTGTCTTATGTGCCATGTAGTGTAGATGTCCAGGCAACAAGGATGTAGCGAGGTTGACTGTCCAGGCGACACACGTACTTAGGTATCGTCATGAGCTAATGTTCACATGTAAACAGCAGCTCATGTAGTGTAGATGTCCAGTCAACAAGGATGTAGCGAGGTTGACTGTCCAGGCGACACACGTACTTAGGTATCGTCATGAGCTAATGTTCACATGTAAACAGCAGCTCATGTAGTGTAGATGTCCAGTCAACAAGAATGTAGCGAGGTTGACTGTCCAGGCGACACACGTACTTAGGTATCGTCATGAGCTAATATTCACATGTAAACAGCAGCTCATGTAGTGTAGATGTCCAGTAAACAAGGATGTAGCGAGGTTGACTGTGCAGGCGACACACGTACTTAGGTATCGTCATGAGCTAATGTTCACATGTAAACAGCAGCTCATGTAGTGTAGATGTCCAGTCAATAAGGATGTAGCGAGGTTGACTATCCAAGCTACACACGTACTTTGGTCTTTCTTCTTTATTATCGTTTTAATTCTTGGAATATGTCGAAGACAATATAGCATTGTCTCCCGAGTTTTGTTTTGATTTTAAGAATATAACAATAGGTTTTAGCTTGAAGTATCATTTCTCTACTCGTTTTCAGGTACAGTCACGTATGCGGCCTAAAACTAAACTAAAATGGCTATAGGGAGTGACAGATTCTTAGTAACCAAATCCACTCCGTTCCTTTTCCTACACCGAGCTGGGGCCTTATTTTCTGAGGGGAAAATCATCAAATGACTTCTCCCGCCTAGTTTTAGGGTAGAGAAGTCATTTGATTGACAGACTCTTACTGACTAGAACCGCCTTGTTCCTTTTCCTGCTCCGGTCCAAGGACCGCAGCGCTCTCTGATATACTTGAACCTTTTTAACTGTCAAGGTTGGGGAATTAATGTCGTGGTGGCCGGGAGGTTAAGGAGCCCGCTTCTCATGCATGAGGGTGTGGGTTCGAAACCTGGCAAGTACCAATGTGACTTTTTCCGAGTTATATGTACTTTCTATCATTATTTAGACACCACTGACATACGGTGAAGGTAAACATCGTGAGGAAACCTGGACTTATAATTTCTAATTGTAAGTTTGAAATCGCCAACCCGCATTGAGCACGCGTGGTGATTAATGCTCAAACCTTCTCCGTGTGAGAAGAGGCCTTTGCTCAGCAGTGGGCACTTATAGGCTGATGATGATGATGATGAAGGTTGGGGAATTCGACAAATCTCTTTTACGTAGTGGAGATCTGAGGTCCATCAGTTTTCTGCCACCCTGGCAGGGGCAAGCGCAATGAGACACCGCGGCCCCGTTCACGAGCAGGGGAAAGAAGACCTGGGTGGTCACCAGGGGTTTTTAGTGAGTAAGAGTCTGACACTTCGATGTGACACTCAGATAAGACATTGGATGATTTTCCCCTATTAAAAACCAGCATGAAGCTGAACTATGAAATCGAATTATAATAAAACTATATATTCTATCGCGGTTGTTAGGTAGCGTGATGTTTTATAGCCTATAGATCTCAGGAACATTGTAGCTATCTATCAGTGAAACAATTTTGGAAATCCGACCAGCGGTTCCAAAGATTACCCCCTACATAGAACTTACAAATTTCACCTCTTTATAATATCAGTATAGATTGTAACAATACTGGTCAATGCTTTGCCTAATAATCTTCACGTTTAATTCGTTTAGGGCTGAGTAGAGTCGTAGATTTCATCAGCGAATAGACAATCTATTTGTTTTAAACAGAAAAAAAATGATTCTATGACCTTTGGCTGGAAAAAAAGTTTATAAAACAATGCCAAAGAAACTTGGGTCAAGGTTATAGTTTAGGTATGAAACTTCATGCTTAATTAACTTAAAAGGGGGTGCGTAGAGATGGTAGTTTCCTTTTCTTTTATTATGTTACTCTTGGTGGATGATTATGATTAGACACACTTTTATACGGTTGAATTTAGGTCACCTGATGGTAAGCATATACATTTACACCAAAGAAGTAGCTAGTTAAATATATCTTCTCTGTCAAGTTTTTTTTTACGATCTTACACTACGCTTTTTTCCTTTGTCGTGAGTGCGTGTAGTTTAAGTTGTTCCGTGCGGGAATCAACTTCCTTTTGTCCAGCCACAGCCACCAGGGTCAACTGAATCAAATTGCAGATTTGATAGTTGCAGATGGGAAGAATATAAACAGTTTAGAACTATACCCTATCCGGAAAACCGGACTCCTCTGGCTACCGATTCCGCACGGAAAACTCTGTGTGATCCACAATTTTTTGTTCCGGGTCCGGATGTGATGTGTATGTGAATTTGTATGTTTATACAACCCACACAGGACCCTAATGATGGGCAACTTTAAAAAAAAAACATTAATCATCACTACATAGTATAAAACAAAGTCGCTTTCTCTGTCCCTATATCCCTATGTACGCTTAAATCTTTAAAACTACGCAACGGATTTTGATGCGGTTTTTTTATAGATAGAGTGATTGAAGAGGAAGGTTTATATGTATAATAACATCCATTAAATAGTGCAGAAAAGCATCAGCATTGCACTCGTGCTAAGCCGGAGCGGATCGCTAGTAACATAAATAAAATAAAAACTACAATGGATGCTTCAAATGAATACAATTTAACGTGTATTATTAGTTCAAACAAATATTTAATAAGACACATTTATTACACACAGATGTTTTTATCAAGAAAACACTCGATGAACGAATGACAAATTGGAAACCTTCGTTTTTAAGGGAGACAATCTATTTAAGACTCCTCCCAGTTTGAGTGGGGCGAGAGGAAGTCTCATCATCATCATCATCATCAGCCTATAAGTGCCCACTGCTGAGCAAAGGCCTCTTCTCACACGGACAAGGTTTGAGCATTAATCACTCAAGGCGCATTGGCGATTTCATATTTCAATGCAACTCGATATTAACAATAAACACACTTTTCTTTGATTTTACAGTAAGTAATATAGTAAGTTTTACAGTAAGTGTGGGAGAGCCATGCTTCGGCACGAATGGGTCGGCTCGACCGGAGTGATACCACGGCCTCACAGCAGACCGGCGTGAAACAACCACAGTGTTGTGTTTCGCCGTGTGAGGGGGTTACCGGAGGCCCAATCCTTCCCCGCCCCCAATCCCTCGTCAATCCCTAAATCTCCAAATCCCTAATCCCCAAAAGGTCGGCAACGCACTCGTAAATCCTCCGTTGCGGGTGTCCATGGGCGGCGCTGATTGCTTACCATCAGATAATCCGTCTGCTCGTTTGCCGACCATTTACATAAAAAAGTAGATATAGATAGATACTTAATAAGTACTAGTATTTTTCTAAGAAACAAGTATTTTATTTGATTGAATAAAAAAAGATGGCGTCACAACACTTAACTAAACGTAAATTTTAAAACACACAAGATGGAAGATTTTTACAATGCTTTAAAATTATATCTTTTTTCTTTCAAAAACGCAAACGCATTACATGATGGTCAACAATAAAATGATTAGGATGAGGATATTTAGGAGATTATTTTCAGTGAGGCCCTGGTATCACTCCTTTCGAGTCGACAAAGAAGTCCGTACGGAACGCAATAGATGGCGCTGTTCTGTAGTCTCTGTATAGCGTTGGACAAAGGCGGGAATTTGAGTATGTATGTTTACATATTAGTATGGAAGGTTTATGGAAATTATTGCGTCTATTTACAAACCAACCAAGTAATGTTTTGCTTAACAACCGAGTAGAGAGAAGTGCTGTGTTTTCGTCATAAACTGCTAAGCTATGACTCAAGGTTATAACTTACTTAGGTAATGTTGATTAACTTAAACTAAAACATACATAGGTATATTCGCTAGCTAAACACAAATATAGCCTATGGTAAATAGCAGCACAATTGAAAATCAAAGTCAAAATGCTGCTGGACATAGGCCTCCCCAATTGCACGCCACCGAACTCGATGTTCAGCTCTTCTCATCCAACCGCTGCCAGCCACCCTGCAGATATTGAAAATCTACCTAGCTGGAG